AAAGTACAGCTCAGTTATTTGCAGGCTCTTTCTCTCTTGGGGCAATGAGGGTGGAGGGGAGGAGAGGAGAAGAAGGAAGAGGGGAGGAAGGGGACAAAAAAAAGCAGGCGGAGGGGAGAAGGAGGGGGAAGAAGGGAAGAGGAGAAAAGGAAGAAGCCATCAGAGCTGGCTGGGTTTGGAGATATAACTGTGTTGTGTTTCTAGACCCACTGCCAGCTCCTTCCCTATACCAAGGGGCCGGCACTGCTGAAGCATCTGTCTCTGCGTTTCTTTCTTCTCTTCCTCCCTCACTCCCATCAGTGGCTGCTGCAGAGATTGCCTTTGGATTCACTCGCAGAGGAGCAGTCATGGGCTGCTGCTGTCTTTCTCAGAGTTGCGTGTGTTGGTCATCCAACTCTTTGCGACCCCATGGACCATAGCCTGCCAGGCTCCTCTGCCCATGGGATTCTCCAGGCAAAAATGTTGGGGTGGGTAGCCATTCCCTTCTCCAGGGGATCTTCCCAACCCAGGGACTGAACCTGGGTTTCCTGCATCTGAGCCCCCAGGGAAGCCCCAGAGTTGGTGAGGCCATTCTCCAGAGATAAATCCACCCAAGAATGAGAGCCCAACACAGAACATCTGCAGAGTCTCAGCCGCAGCAGCTCACAGAAGACTTTCCCTGCAGCAGGAGCCTGAGCCCTATTTGCTCCCTCACCATGGTTAGGGAAGTGGGGGGTGGGGAGGTTAAACAAGAGCAGGGTAAACGCCAGAGCAAGGGACACATATATTAAGTGAACTCCTTGAGGCAGACTTCAAGGAGTGTGGGGCAACGGGGACCTGGAAAAGGTAAGGCAGACCCCAGCGCAGACCCGAGGAGGGGCTGGCTCCCCAATACTCCTCCTTGGGCTCAAGGCAATGCCAGAGCAGCCGTGGCTGCTTTAGGGTCACTTCAAGTCTGAAATGTTCAAAGCCCTTAACCACGAGCATCACCATGGGGAAAAATGCAAACAGCATTTTGCTCAGACTCCTCAATTCTGGGTTTTTTTGGAAACACCTTCAGAAACAACGTGGAGATGTGGCCGGCAAGGACTGAGATTGGCCACAAAGGAAGTTCAGCACCATTGTTTTCCTCACAAGATGGGATTTGCCACTGATGCAGGCTGGACAGGGAGGCCAAATGGGGTAATGCTGGGCTGTTCATATCAGAGGGTCCATGCCCTTGGGTTTACAGAGCCAGGGGGGTCAGAGTCACCCCGATTGGTCCTGCGGTGCACACGGGGCAGTTTCCAGGGCAGAGGAGGCCAACCCACGAGTGGCAGGCCCGGGGGTTCCCCCATCCCGGCTCTGGAGCATCTTAAGTGTTCATTTCCCAGTTTTCACAGCAAGGAAGAGAGAGTTTTCAAGACACCTCTCCTTAGTTACCACCCTGATTCAGCTCAAAAATTAGAGAAAAGCTGTCACTATTTTTACTGATTCTCAGAAAGCAAAAATGATCTGGCCACCGACAGTGACAGGCCGCCGTCTGCCCTTCTAATTCAGTGTCCAAAACAGGAGATTCAGCAGAGAGGGGTTGCTGCCTTTAATTGAAACAGCTAAGAAACATGCATGTGTTTCTGTGTTTTTCTTAATGGCAAGCTAAAACACTGTTTTTAAAAACTTGTGTTTTTTAAAACACAAGCATATCATGATGGAACAAACAAAATGGGGATGACTTTTTAAACAGTGACATTCAAACACTTGACATTTGCTCTGAGATGTTTCAGGCCATCACATACCTGGGGCCTCTCATCCGCCCATCTCTGCCTTTACCCGAGTGAAAAGGTTTAAGAGGCACCACTCTAATGAGCTGGGTTCCCCGCTGGCTGGTCTGCTCCCTGGCCAAGAGATTCCAGTTAGTCATCTGCAGACTGAAGTTTTAAAATCGTTTGAGTCTGGACATTGTTTATAGAGATGTGGGTTCTAGAACATTCTCCCCAGGAGTCCTCCAGGATAGAAGAGTCAGACATCAGTTAGGATGTTTGAACTGGAATCTCTTGTGTTGAAGGAGAATAAAATCCCTTCTTCCAGAGGGCAGGGGAAGGGATACATTAGGAGTTTGGGATTAACAGATGCACACTACTGCATATAAAGTAGATTTCCAACAAGGACCTACTGTATAGCATAGGGAATGCTACTTGGTATCTTGTAATAACCTACAATTGAAAAGAATCTAAAAAGTATATATATATATATATGTATATATATAGCTGAATAACTGTTGTACACCTGAAACTAACATAGCATTGTAAATCAACTATATTTCAATTAAAAAAAATTTTTTTTAACTGAAACAAACAAAAGAAGTCCTTCCTGAAAGATTCAGCATTGATAACTTATAGTGTAACTTGCCCTGTGGCTTCCTCCCTCTAACAGTGCCCAAGGATCAGAAGTTTCAATTCTCGTCCCTCTTTTCTGTTTCCTTCATCTAAATAATGCTTCTCACTCCCTTGCTCATCCCATCCCAACAAATATTAGGATTCGTGTCCAGAAGAAAATGAGGTCATCCCCCCTCCAGCTCCATCATGGCAGAAACCAAACTCTTTTCAGAGGCATCTACATGCCAACCCTACCATCTCCCCATCCCACCAAAAGGGATCCTGCAGCTTCCTCTATGCCCCACAAGGCTTATAGGTAAATCCAACGTGTCTAGGCCGTCCATGAAGCAGGAGAGATAGGGGATCACTGCTCATACCAGCTTCTAGTTTCACCCAGAAGCATTAGCTTTGGGACTTGATCAAAAAAGAGAATTCTCCCATCCTCTATCCAGGCAGAGTGAATGAGAAAACTGTGATTTGGCATATGCTTCTACCATTTATAATCATTCTGTACGAAAGTGAACTGAACGATGTCCTGTGTGTCCTTAGCACTTGATACCTTTCCAAACGCAGTCTCTGCTCTAAAAACACATCCACCAAATCCAAGACCACTTCAACTCATTTATTCAAGCCAGTACCAGGTTGGGAGTATGGCCCTTGGCTAAACAACCACTTCCCCAGGCTGTGTGGGTCTGCAGATGAGAACATGACCTAAGTCCCACCTTTGGCTGAGGTTCCTGGGATTCTGATCTCATTCTGAGATGTCCAGCTCATTTTCATAGAAAGTGGGGATGTTTGACCCAACATTCCTGGACTCAGAAACATTTTGGAATAAAAGAGAGGGAAACCTTTAATAGAGAGCTCAATAATACCAGAATTCACTGCAAATTACAGAGTCGATAGCTTATGCAAAGGGAATTCAACCTCATTCCCAGTGCTCTCAGATTAACACTGCGATGATTTCTTCCTGAGACCTAATATTATATGTGTGAGGTGCTAAAGCTTTCCTGTTGGGTGTCATGTCTTGTCTCTAGGGAGCTTAATTATTTTCAATATGGTTCTTGAAACACAGGCACCGTGGTACTCAACCGCATTCACAAAGGATGTATCTACACAATGCCATTATCCACGACACAGAGTGACAGCACAAGACAAAAATTTTTGAAGAATTATTGTTCACTCGTTTATTCAAAAAAAAATCTTGCTGAGCTCATATTATCTGCAGACATTTTGGCCAAAGGCCCTCCTTCCTGGTCTTATAGGTCCTGGAGTCAGAGAACAGAGTGAAACTTGAGAAATGCACGCTTGCTCTACAGGACTTCAGTGGAATGTTCTGAAGAGGAGGGGTCTTTCTCCATTCACTCTATCACCCTCTTCATTCCCCCACCCCAAGCTAAACCCTTGGAAAGCTTACTCCCAGGAAAAAGATGGCAAAATAAGGATGCGAAGAAAAACAAAAGAATTCCTCACTTTCGAGTTCCCAGGAGATGCCCCATCATATACATATTTTCAGAAACAACTGAACTTGCCTGGGCTCACCATGCCCACTGACTTGAGAATTCGACACCCACCTGAAATAAGACCCCATCATTCCTCCAGATTTCATTGCTATTTGTAAACCACCTTGGACTGAAAACCTAAGTATGGGACCCCTCCCTCCCCACTGGGTTCCCAGTATCCTCCCCTGAAAAATGGAGCTAAGAAAATCACAGGGGAGGCTCTCAACTCCTCTCCTACAACAAGGAACAGTAGAAGTCATTTAAAATATTTAGCATCTAATCTACAGTCACCCCTGGAGTTCAGATCACTGCAGCCTTGAGATACAGACACTCTGCAAGGCAGCTTTGTACCACTGCTATCTGGCCCCTTTCTCACTGAAGGATTTTTCGCCTCCTCTGACTGAAGTGACCCTGATGAATGCTTTTCATCCCTCTCCCGCAGATGTGTGTGTGTATGAGTGTGTGTCCAGGAGACCAGAAGTTCTGATTTCTAGGTGGCAAATCTCTGTTTTCAGCTGAAAGGCAAGTCACCCCCACATCCTCCATTATCCTCTGTTGGGACCATCTAGCCCTCAGTTTTCCCCTCTGACAAATGGGTCAAACGGCCGGAACGGCCTTCACGATGAGAGCCAGGGCCTTGAGGAATCAAAGAAATGACCGAATGCCAAAGGCGAAGATGTCCCCTGAGGACGGTTAAACAGAGGGGACGGGACTGAGACTCAGAGCGGGGAAGGAAGGAGGCCAGGTCCCCGAGCTGTGGGGGCAGAATGGGCCCCACACCCAGCCCATCACTCGGGCTTCCAAGGCTCAGCGCTGAGCTCCGCCCACCTACTTGCCCCGCCCCGACCTGAGCAGAGAAGCCGGGCCGACAAGCCTTGTCCCTGGTCCGGAGGGGAGTGGTCCTCCTGACCCACCGCCAGGGGCCTCCCTCTGCCCGAAATCCCTGCCCCCGCACCCTCCCCCAGCCCCCCTCTCTGGGTAAAGGCTTCCACTCAGCGCGTGTGTAACTCAGAGCCACAGGACACTGAAATGCTAAGTGAAGAGCAATTAACTTCTGCTTCTGAAAACCCACTTTAGCTTTCCATAACTCTTTGGGGGCCATTTCAACTAAGCCAAACCTCCCGCACATTCTCCCTCAGCAATAAATTACCTTCCTGGCTTTAATTAGCTGCCGCAGTGCAAAACGGGCTGGGTGCTGACGTGGCGGCTTTCCCCCCGGGTCCCATTCTGTCACAGACTCGAGGAGACGGCGGCCGCGGGGAGCGGCTGGGCTGCCGCGGCAGGGACGTGGCCAGCAGTGGACGCCTCACCTGGCCGGGCCGCAGGGGGCGAGGCGGAGGCGGAGCAGGGCCGGGGCTGAGCGCTGCGGGACGTGGAATCAGCCCCCGGTGATGCGCTCCCAGGCTTTTCCTGTCATCATCGGTCTTTCCTTCATCCAAGCTGCCCCTAAACACGAGTGTACACACACTCACACACATACACACACTCACACATACACACACATATACACATACATTCATACAGACACACACTCATACACCCACACACACTCATACACCCATGCACACACATACACACACATATACATATACACACTCACACCTACACATTCACACACACATACACACTCATACATACATGCACACACACACATACACACACATATACTGATACATATACACACACATACACACACTCACACATACACACACATATACACATACATTCATACAGACACACACTCATACACCCACACACACTCATACACCCATGCACACACATACACACACATATACATATACACACTCACACCTACACATTCACACACACATACACACTCATACACGCATGCACACACACACATACACACACATATACTGATACATATACACACACATACACACACTCACACATACACACACATATACACATACATTCATACAGACACACACTCATACACATACACACACTCATACACACATGCACACACATACACACACATATACATATACACACTCACACCTACACATTCACACACACATACACACACTCATACACACATGCACACACACACATACACACACATATACTGATACATATACACACACATACACACACTCACACATACACACACATATACACATACATTCATACAGACACACACTCATACACCCACACACACTCATACACCCATGCACACACATACACACACATATACATATACACACTCACACCTACACATTCACACACACATACACACTCATACACACATGCACACACACACATACACACACATATACTGATACATATACACACACATACACACACTCACACATACACACACATATACACATACATTCATACAGACACACACTCATACACATACACACACTCATACACACATGCACACACATACACACACATATACATATACACACTCACACCTACACATTCACACACACATACACACACTCATACACACATGCACACACACACATACACACACATATACTGATACATATACACACACATACACACACTCACACATACACACACATATACACATACATTCATACAGACACACACTCATACACATACACACACTCATACATACATGCACACACATACACACATATACTCATACACATACACACTCACCTACACACTCACACACACACTCATACATACATACACACACACAAATACACACACATATACTCATACATATACACACTCACACACACACATATACATATACACTCACACCTACACATTCACACACTCGTACATACATACATACACACACATGCACACACATATACTGATACATATACACACACATACACACACACTCATATATACACATATATTCATACAGACACACACTCATACACATACACACACTCATACATACATGCACACACACACATATACTCATACATATACACACACACCTACACACTAACACACACACTCATACATACATACACACACACAAATACACATACACACACATATACATACACATACACATACACACTCATACATATACACACACTCACACACACATACACACTTATACATATAAACACGTACATATACACACATACACTCACACATACACACACTCACATATATACTCACACATACACACACATACATATACACACATACACATTCATATATGTACACACATACACATACATACATGCACTCATGCATTCATCCACTCACACATACACATACATACCCATACACTCATACACATACATACACACTTATACATATACACACAGTCACACACACACATACACATTCATACACACTCACACACACACATACACACACTCACACACTCGCTCACAGGTATCCAATATCTTTATCAGCCTTATCATTTTTGCTTAGGGAGAAATTACTGACAGAGCTTAATATATAATATATATAATATATTCTCCCTGGAGATTCTGCTATATAATTGTGAGCTAAGCTTGAGTCCAAATGAATAAATCTCTAAGGATGTGATTCTAGTCACATCTGTGGGCTGGAAATGGTATTGGCTGGGTAAGCAAGAAGTCAGAAAGCACCCTCTGCATCCCCAACATTGCTTGGAGCCCACGAGTAAGATCTGAGGTCCCGCTTCTGACCAGAGGTGTGACCCTCAGCAAGTTCCTTCCTTCTCAGGTCTGGTTGCCCTGGAGAGCTGTGATGGGTGGGACCCCTTTGGCAACGCTCTATGAGGATTATGACAGTGTGTCTGTGTGCCTGTGTCTGTGTGCATGTATGTGTGTGCATGTGTGTGTGCGCGCCTGTGTGTAGCATGTGTGTGTGCATGCCTGTCTGTGTGTGTGCATGTGTGTGCATGTGTGTCTGTGTGCCTGTGTGTGTGTGCCTGTGTGTCTGTGTGCCTGTGTGTGTGCATGTATGTGTGTGTGCATGTGTGTGCATGTGTGTTTGTGTGCCTGTGTGTATGCCTCTGTGTGTGTGCATGTGTATCTGTGTGCATGTGTGTGTGCCTGTGTATCTGTGCAGATATGTGTGTGTGTGCCTGTGTCTGTGTGCCTGTGTGTCTGTGTGCCTGTGTGTGTGCCTCTGTGTCTGTGTGCCTGTGTGTGTGCATGTATGTGTGTGCATGTGTGTGTGCGTGCCTGTGTGTGTGCCTGTGTGTGTGCGCACCTGTGTGTGTGCATGTGTGTGTGTGTAGCATGTGTGTGTGCATGCCTGTCTGTGTGTGCATGTGTGTCTGTGTGCCTGTGTGTGTGCATGTATGTGTGTGTGCCTGTGTGTGTGCATGTGTTTGTGTGCCTGTGTGTATGCCTCTGTGTGTGTGCATGTGTATCTGTGTGCCTGTGTGTGTGCATGTGTGTGTGCCTGTGTATCTGTGCAGATATGTGTGTGTGTGTGCCTGTGTCTGTGTGCCTGTGTGTCTGTGTGCCTGTGTGTGTGCCTCTGTGTCTGTGTGCCTGTGTGTGTGCATGTATGTGTGTGCATGTGTGTGTGCGTGCCTGTGTGTGTGCCTGTGTGTGTGTGCCTGTGTGTGTGCGCACCTGTGTGTGTGCATGTGTGTGTGTGCCTGTGTGTGTAGCATGTGTGTGTGCATGCCTGTCTGTGTGTGTGCATGTGTGTGCATGTGTGTCTGTGTGCCTGTGTGTGTGCATGTGTGTGTGTGCCTGTGTGTCTGTGTGCCTGTGTGTGTGCATGTATGTGTGTGTGCCTCTGTGTGTGTGCATGTGTATCTGTGTGCCTGTGTGTGTGCATGTGTGTGTGCCTGTGTATCTGTGCAGATATGTGTGTGTGTGCGCCTGTGTCTGTGTGCCTGTGTGTCTGTGTGCCTGTGTGTGTGCCTCTGTGTCTGTGTGCCTGTGTGTGTGCCTGTGTGTGTGTGCCTGTGCATGTGTGTGTGTGCATGTGTATCTGTGTGCCTGTGTGTGTGTGCATGTGTATCTGTGTGCCTGTGTGTGTGCATGTGTGTGTGCCTGTGTATCTGTGCAGATATGTGTGTGTGTGCGCGTATGTGTGCCTGTGTGTGTGTGCATGTGTGTGTGCCTATGTGTGTGCCTGTGTGTCTGTGTGCCTGTGTGTGCCTGTGTGTGTGTGCCTGTGTATCTGGGCATATGTGTGTGTGCCTGTGTGTCTGTGTGCCTGTGCATGTGTGTGAGTGCATGTGTGTGTGTGACTGTGTGTGTGTGCCTGTGTGTGTGCCTGTGTGTTTGTGTGCATGTGTATCTATGTGCCTGTGTCTGTGTGCCTGTGTGTGCCTGTGTGTGTGTGTGCATGTGTGTGTGCCTGTGTGTGTGCCTGTGTGTCTGTGTGCCTGTGCATGTGTGTGTGTGCCTGTGTCTGTGTGCATGTGTCTGTGTGCCTGTGTCTGTGTGCATGTGTCTGTGTGCCTGTGTCTGTGTGCATGTGTCTGTGTGCCTGTGTGTGTGTGCATGTGTGTGTGCCTGTGTGTGTGCATGTGTGTGGGCCTGTGTGTGTGCATGTGTATCTGTGTGCCTGTGTGTGTGCATGTGTATCTGTGTGCCTGTGTGTGTGCATGTGTGTGTGTGCATGTGTATCTGTGTGAATGTGTGTGTGTGTGTAGCGAGTTGTGTGGGGAAGACCTTGGTGTGTGTTTGTTTGCTTATGGCTCTTGCTTTCTTCTAGAATCTACCATCTGGGCCAGAGGTAGCATCTGTAGAGGCCTGATTGCCCCCACCCCGGGCAAAGCCAGGGCCGCGGGCTGTCCCCACACACCCCGTCCCTGGGAGCTGTCCCCCTACCCAGGGAGGGCCATGGGAAAGGACTAAAGCCCCTTTCTCTCTCCACAGAACACACTTATGCTTAACGGTCGCTTCTCCCCCAGGGCTCCACCTCCAGCCTCCACCTCCTCTGACAAGCATCACCTTCCCAACCCCAATTACAAGCTGCCTTCTTCCGCCCTTCCTTTCTTGGGGGAAATATTTTTTAGTAAGAAGTCCAAACATGAAGTCAGCAGCCAGGCCCTGCTTGTCGGGAGTGGTGACAAGCGGCCGGCAGAGCCTGGGCTCTGATGAAGCCTGCAAGCTCAGAGCTCACCCAGGGAATCTCTCCTGATTCGCCCCTCACCGCCCCAATTAACAGGCAGCCTGGCAGGCAGGTTCCCGGCCTGTCACAGTCGCCAGACAGGCCACCCCAGCCCTGCCTGCCAGCGCTGCCCCCGAGTCTGCTGTTCCCAGCCTGTCAGACACCCCAGCACCAGGAGGTGAGTGGCTCCCGCAGCCCAGGGAGGGCACAGCCCCCCGTTCCATCCGCCCTGGAGATGGCCTGGGGCCAGAGGTGATCACATCCACCTTCCTCATCCCTGATTGCCAGGGACACTGGGAAGGGATTAGCAGCAGAGGGCCCCCCACTTGTCCCTGGAGACCCCCGAATGGTGATCATCCGGGAATCGCAGGAAATGACACAGAGTCCTGCTCAGAATGAAGAATCTGATGGGTCTCTCTGAACTGAATCACCACTAAATTCCCTGGGCCGACCACCTACACACCCATGGCCTCCTCCTCGGCTTTTGTCTCTAGGGAAAGGGCTGAGATTCTGAAAGTGCCTCCCAATTTCAGTTCCTGCCCCAAGCGATCCCGGATAATGAGATGGCAGGCTTCAGCCTTCACAGGTAAGTCCCCTGAGCGCTTTCTGCTGCTCTGGCCTCCCTCCAGGCACAGATACCAAACTCTCACGGCCGGCCACCTACAGACACCCAAGCCCTCTGTAACTGCCCACGTCTTCATAACCACTACCTATTCCATGATGTGAGGTAGGAAATCTCACTCTGGCCACTCTCCCTTCCCTGGGGAACATCCAGCCCCTCTGAAGCTAACCCTTTGTCGACCTGAACAGCTGAGTGGTACTGGCTTTGAGACCTCATGTGGGTGGAGGAAACCCACCCATCCATACTCCTCCTAAAGCAAGGGTGCCTTCCACATTCACGGTGATATGAACTGTGCCCCCTGGGGAGGGACAGCCTGGTGGCCCCGACTCCTCCCTGCCCCATCCCTGGGCTGGAAATCGATACTCCTGTGCAGGCACCGTTGACTCGGTACCCACAGGAAGCATCACTGCCCTTTATCTTCTCCTTGCATCTGTCCTTTCAGCACCTGTGACAAAGTACCAGAGCCTGGGTGGCTTATAAATAACAGAAACTGCTCACTGTCTTGGAGGTTGGGAAGTCCAAGGTCAAGGTGCTGGCAGATTCAGTGTCCACTGAGGGTTCACTAACTGGTTCATGGACCACTGTCTTCTCACTGTGTCCTCACATGGCAGGAGGGGCCTCTTTATAAGGGCACTGATCTTAATCATGAGGGTTCTACAGACACGTCCTAATCACCCCCCAAAGGCCCCACCTCCTAATGCCATCATCTCAGGGGTGAAGATTCCAACATATGAATGTTGAAGGGACACAAACATTTTGTTTACAGGCATCGTCCAGAGAGAAGCCTGCTCTCCCTGGCTTTGGCCATATCCAGAGGAGGCTGAGCAGGATCACACATGCCCATCCTGGAAAAAAGCACATCATATGGGATACGCTACCTCAAAGTCAATGTGAGGCAGGAAGGAAAGAAAGTGGATTCCACTGACAAAGGATGGGGTGACTCCGCTGACAAAGGCGTGCTGCAGTCCATGGAGTTGCAAAGAGTCAGACACGACTGAGGATCTGAACTGAACTGAGGATACAGAATGGTAAATGAGGCTAGGTAGGGACTTCCCTGATGGTCCAGTGGTTAAGACTCCGCACTTCCACTGCAAGGAGCACAGGCTCGATCCCTGGTCAGGAAACTAAGATCCCACCTGTCAAAAATAAATAAATCCCACAGCCAAAATAAATAAATAAACGAACTCCTAAAAAGCAGGGACTGTATCTTATTGGTTTTCCTAGTCCTAGTATTGAGGATAGTGACTATCGAGGGTGAGCACTCAGTGAACCATTGTTAATTGAGGGCAGGACAGGAATCAATTTCTATAGTGTCTCTCCCAACATCTAAGCACTGGAAAGACTTAGTACACATTCATAATGCCTTCTTCAGGCTGTGATGCCTAAACAGAGATGATGCTACAGAGGGAGAGACCAAGAATAAAGAACGATGTGAACACACTTGGACATATCAAATATCCTCTCCACCTCATACCACGGATTCTGGCATTTAAACCATATGAAGCAACATTCAACCCTGAATATTTGTTGGAAGGACTAATGCTGAAGCTGAAGCTCCAGTACTTTGGCCACCTGATGTGAAGAGCTGACTCGTTGGAAAAGACTCTGATGCTGAGAAAGACTGAGGGCAAGAGGAGTGGGCAACAGAGGATGAGATGGCTAGATCATATCACCAACTCAATGGACATGAATCTGAGCAAACTCCAGGAGATAGTGGAGGACAGGGGAGCCTGACATGATGCAGTCCATGGGGTCACAAAGAGTGGGAGACAACTTAGTGGCTGACCAACAACAACAAAGCAGCTCTAGGAAACCATCACGTGTTTCCGAATTTGCAAAATGGGCCTAGTAGTGGGGGAGGGAGAAAGGGAGGAAGAAATCAGGAAAAGAGAAATGAATTCTTTCAAACCAGTTGCTAAGCTGCAGAACTCACCAGTATATAACCTTTCACTTGAATGTGGCCACCTCCCCTCTTGCAGATAGCAATATAAAGTGATGGAGATAAATGGAAACAAAATGCCTGCTCCTATCCATGGCAAGGAAGAATGCATATCAAATTCATTAATTATGATCCAATTTGTGTTTGCATGGTGAGGGATAATCATTTGCCATCAAAGAGATGCCCTTCCTTTATTAAAGCCATTGAGACTCTCAGGAAGTGCTCAAGGGTTTAAAATTCTATATTTGAATTTCACACATGCTTTTTACTGCTGGGACCAAAACTCAATCAACACTTGCTAGTGCTGACACTGACATTCAAGCCACAGGGGTCTTCACTACTTTAAGACAGACCTACAGATAGGACTTGGTTAGGAAATTTGCTAATTTGTTCTTCTCTGGATCCATGTGCGAGTGTGTGTGTGTGTGTGTGTGTGTGTGTGTGTGTGTGTGTGTGTGAGTGTGTATGTGCAACACATGCATAAGCCTGTATCTTTTTTTTAATAGAGCTGAGGTAGAAGTAAAAGGACTCTAGCCAACTTAAAGAAGGGAACAATTAACCTCATCTCTCTTCAGAGTCCAGGGCCCAGCTGCCCAGGAGTGGAAACCATGTCCTCACTTTTATCTCAAAGCCAAACCAACATAAACATGTTGCTAAGAGACGAGGCTTCTCTTTCAACTCCAGACCCAGGCTTGTGGTCCATGCCCAGACACGGGCTGGGTAAGAAGCCAGGGCTCAGAGATTATTATGCTTTTCTTTAGAAAGTCTTCAGCAGGGCTTTAATTCTGATTTGCTTTTTCTATTACTGTCTTTTACCCTTGGATTGAGGCTGAATCAGAGAAAGACACTGGATTTCCTCACTCAGCGCACCAAGTGCTGAATCAAAGCACATAGGATGGAATGCAGTGACCTGGAACACATGAAATGCAGTTTGGAAAAAACCCTCCTGCTATCCAAAAAGACCTTTTCTTTCCTAAAGCTTCCCCACTGCCAGAAAAGCGGTTTCTACAAGGTATAGCATGTTGTAGCAGAGTTTATTGTTTGTAGCATATATAGTATAACATACTATAACATATAGCATAGTCTTTGGCATATGAGTCTATAGGCTACTTGACTAAAGGCCAAGAAATATCTATTTCCCTGAAATGCAATTTTCATGTGCAGTCAAAGATAATAATATTGAATCCTCTCACAACCTAGGAAGGTACTAATGTTATTTCCATTCTATTTATGAGGAAATCTGCCCAGACAGGTGAAGTAACTTGCCTAAAATCTGCAGCTAGGGACTTCCCTGGTGGTCCAGTGGTTAGGACATCACCTTCCAATGAGGGGCTGCAAGTTCGATTCCCTGGTCAGGGAGTTAAGATCCCACATGCCACATGGCCAAAACACCAACACAGAAAACAGAAACTATATTGTAAGAAATTCAATAAAGACTTTTCAAATGGTCCACATCAAAAAGAAATTGTAATACATTAAAAAATAGTTTAAAAAAAAAAAGATCATGTAGCCAGTAGAGGCAGAGGAGGAACTCAGACTTAGCCCTCTGGGACTGAACTCGGCACAGGCAGGCAGAGGCCCCAGCCTCCCTGCGGAAGATTGTACACTGGGTACATCTTCTCAATCCCCGAGGGCCCGGGAGAGCCACAGATGCAGCACCACCTTCTTGAATTACTGACAGAGGAATTTCCTCCCTGCGATTCCTCTTGCTCTGGGGTCAAGCATCTGAGCCGCCCTTGAAGCTCCCTCACAACGAGACAAGGGCAAGTTGAACCGCATTTAACAGCAGGGAGGCGGAGGCGCCGAGAGATCCCTGCCCTGGGATCAGGCCCCTGGCCACTGCCCGACCCCACCCCATGCCCCAGGACACGGCCCTTCCCCCTCTCCTCCCGCACCGGGCCAGCCGGCTCCGAGGTCTGCCTGACAGCTCTGACTTCTGGGATCCAGGCTTTCAGATAGCGTTCTTGGCACTAGGTGCCTTGGGAGTGGACGGGCGGTGTGGGGAGGGAATGAGGCGCAAGGCCCTTTCCAAAAATAGAGTGAGGAAAGTCCCAGAGAGTAGGTGGAAAGTCACAGGGAGAGGAAGGCAGTGGCCGTCCGGCACCAGACCAACCAGAGAGAGGCCTCTCCCAACAGCACATCCAGGAGGCCCCTCGGGGACCACAAGCATCTCCTCCACCCCCAGTTTAAATTACCGACACATCTTCCCAAACAGATCCCGATTCCCTCCTCCCAGCCTCACAAGTGTGTCCCAAGGGCAACGTCTAAAAGGCATTTTCTGAGCCTACATTGGTCTTTGGCTTGCTTTTTCTCCTTTCCTCCAACTCCCATTGACACTCCTTTCTGAAATCGCTAAATAGGAAAAAGTGAGAAGAAGCATTTATGTCTCCTAATGAATGGGACATTCTGCCTCCACAAGGTCTCCTCCCGGTATGCACCGTCCCCGTTCACGACTATCGTTCACCCATCACCCCAAACGACTTAACTCCACCTGCCGTGTCCCAGGCTCTGGGCTCAATGCTTGTGAGGATACAAAGAAGTATCAACAGAAAACAAAGGCACTGCCCTGAAGAGACATACCATCTACAAGGTAAGTGTGTTAACACTACCCCTGCAGAGAGACCATTAACAGCCATGCCCCGGTTTCCCCGCTGAGTCCTTTGGCAAATCACGCGTACTGTCACATTAGGGCTGGTGGCCAGTGTTGACCACACCTGTGGAGGACAATGACAGCACGCTTTGAACATCTCTCTTGCGCCAGATTTCAGGCAAGAGGTTCAACAGATACTCACGAGGTCCCTGACACCATTCTTCAATAGAAGTCATGTTGTCTCCAAGAGGAATAGCTCAGATGACATCAAGAACTCCCCACCATCCCCCAGCCAGTGAGAGCAGGAATGGGATTTCAATCGAACACCCTAGAATGGGATGGACTTACCCCTGAGTAGTAGAGAGGAGAGCGGAATACAACAATAGTTGAATAAACCCTCAGAGCCAATCTCCACAGTACTTACAGAGCTCATGCAAAAACAAAAACAATGTGGAGATTGATGTTGTGATGGGGACAATCACTTTGGAGAGCAGTTTGGCAGTGCGGATCCAAACTGTAAACTCGGGCTTCCCTGGTGGTCCCGTGTCACATTCGGCACTCCCAGTGCAGGGGATTTGATCCCAAGTCGGGGAACTAGATCCCACATGCCCCAACTAAGACCCAGCACAGCCAAATAAATAAATATTTTTCAAAAAATTGTTAATGCACGAATTCTGTAGGCTAGAAGTTTCATTTTTATGAATGTACCCAACTATACAAGGATGCTCACAGAAGCACATAACAGAAAAAAGTTGAAATTAATCTAAGCATCCATCAATCAGCAACAAGTTAAATAGACTGATTTACACATAAAATGAAATATTAATTTGAGGCATGCATTAAAAAGAATGAGGCAGGGCTATGGATACTAACATGAAGGCATCTCCATAAAATGTATTTCATAAGCAATCCAGCTTATGCTTTAAAGCGTTTTGTATATAATGCATGCATACATATAAGCATATCCATGCTTGAAATGCCTGGAAGACACACAAAACTATTAATAATAGCTACTGGTAAAGAGGGGGTGAGGAAAGGGAGATTTCTGAATTATTTGGTTTGCTTTTGAGGACCCTGTCTTAAAGGTTTTAATAGCACTTCTGCAGGTCACTCAGTTACACCTGTTGGAAAGAAATCCTCCAGAGGAGGTACTGATAACCAGAAACCAAAAGACCTGCACTCCAGGAGCCAAGGGTCTCAGAATTTGAGGTCCTCCATTGGAGCCCTCAACTGCCTGGGTAAGTCACGTTGACCCCTTACCTGGTCCTTTCTTCAAGACCTGAGGCACCTGAGACAAAGTCAAAGATGGTGGGCTCTGATATCAACACACACAGATCTAATTCTGGCTTCAGGACTTTGTAGGGAGAAGTAGGATATGCCAGTCTCTCTTTGAGCTCAACTTTCCTCATTCATAAAATGAGGGGATGGGGCTACAAACCTCACCACCACCACACCACCACTGCATAGGCTTGCTGGGATGGTTGTTGGTGCAAAGAATGTCAAAGCATGATTTAAAGACCAGGCTAGAAACTGACAAAAGGAAACTAAGTCGTTGACTGGTACCTCCCCTGGGCGAGGCTGAGTTATCAGAGGCGGTGTTCCCCCCCCCAACACTGACTCCACCCTCTCCCCTTCCACACTGAAGGGACAGTGTGATGAAAACCACCCTGTGCTCACGGGCTCTGCAAAGAACTCAGCCACTCCTGCAATTCCAAACCCAAGGGCTGGGACGGTGCGTCCATGGAAAATGACCCCAGCGTCAAGGGCCTGCCAGCAGTGAGTCTACTGCCTCAGCCTCGAAATCCCCAAGTAAATATCGGTTCATTGGATTGTTGATTAAAATCACAGATAGCCTTTCTGATGGCTGTCCAGAGACCCAAGGAGCTGAAACAGCAGTGAAACGACCCAGGAAGCCTTTAGCCACGAGCCTCCCCGGATTCCTCAACTTGGTTCTTCACTCACTCCCTCCCTTTCCTCTCGCTCCTTCTCCAACCGCTGCCTCCCGGTCTCCACCACAAGTCAACCCTCCCTCCATCAACAGAAATTCACTCCCTTAAGAGCACCCCTGGGCCAGAGGAAATAATCATTAACTTAATGGGCTGATATAATTACATTAAATCATGAGGATAAGAATATAGACTTTGGAAAAAGAAAATCTGAGTTTGAATTCTAATTCCACTGCTTATTAGCTGAGTAATCTTGGATAACCAAACCTCAGCTCCCCGGTCCATCGGGGTTGGTTATAAAACAATTCACACAGTTCAAAGATGAGCAAGGGAAGCTGTTATGCAAACATAACTTACATATGTCGTTAAAAGAAAGTTGAAAGTGAAAGTATTAGTCACTCAGTCGCGTCCTACTCTTTGCCACCCTATGGACTGTCACCCACCAGGCTCCTCTGTCCATGGAACTATCCAGGCAAGAATATAGGAGTGGGTTGTCATTTCCATCTCCATGGGATCTTCCTGACCCAGGGGTCAAACCCGGGTCTCCCACCTTGCAGGCAGATTCTTCTCCATCTGAGCCACCAGGGAAGCCCAGAAGATAGTTAATACTATTATCTAACTTGGGAACTGGAGAAATTAACACACACCAATACTACCACCATCTGCACCCTTGTGGCAGCAACACCGGCCAACAACACACACCTAACACAGAAGCCGGCAGAGCCAAGTTCACAGACAGCAACCTGCACAACTGTACAGCCCCCGCCCTCTCCTGAATCAGAAAGGCCCATGTAAGTTCAAAGCTCTGCTCATCACCAGCTTGAAATTCTTCATCATTATTGAACACAGAGCTCCCATTTTTCTGCCCTGGGTCCTGCAAATTATGCAGCCGGTCTTGACCACCCCTACAAAGACCCACTGACCAAAGCATTCTTGGAATGAGTTGGCCTCTTTCAAACTCTCTCTTCTAAGAGTTATCTCAAGCGGTGTTGGCCTGGAGAGAAGGCTTGGAAAGATCTATTATCTGACCAGGGAGTGGAGGAGTGGAAGACACTGGTGGGAGTTAACAGGGCTTTGGTGCTGCTGCAGACACTCCCTAGGGGATATAAGATCAGAGCCCTTTCTAGTCCTGGAGTCAGGTCAACCTGAGAGTTGAACACTTAAGCAACCCACCCACAAAACAAACCCAGGAGGAAGGTCAAGGTTGCCCACATCATTCCGCTTTCTTCCTACAAAAAGCATCTCAAGCAACTCCCTGTGAGCAAAACTTCAAGCGCATAGCTTTAGGGTGTTCTTAAAAAAAAAAAAAAGTTTGAGAGGACTTCCCTGGTGGTCCAGTGGTTAAGAATCCACCTTCCAAAGCAGAGGTGCAGGTTCGATCCCTGGTCCAGGAACTAAGCTCCCACATGCCACGGGGCAACTAAGCCCATGTGCCGCAACAAAAACAGCCTGTATACCACAACTACAAAAAAAAAAAAATGTTGAAAAATTTTTTAGCAATTAAAACAGGCTGAGTCTCCTTCAGTCTCTTGCCCTCCGAAAGAGCCACAGCCATGTGGCCAAGTAAGACTGATGGAGATAAAGGGCTCTGAGAGCTCACATTAGGGGTGAAGGTCTGCAGGAAGGGCCTTGACAGGAGCTGGAACCTCAACAGTCCTTGGGGAGGGAGGGAGGAGAAGCTGGTGTTTTAGAAAGAGACAGTGTAAGACAGCAAAGGGTCATCTGTGCCTGCTTTGTGGGAAACGCCAAGGAGAGTGGCCCCGGGAGCAGGAGGGCGTGCCCAGCGGGGAAGTGCAGGAAATGGGATCAGATCCCTCCGGCAAGGCTAGCTGCAGAGGGTTTTCATAGCAGCCAAAGGGCCAGATTCATCTCCTGGGTCATGAGAAAGCAGATTGCCCCCATGATTGTTTCTAGAAGGAAAGCAGCCAGGAAGAATCAACGGGCAAGATAGAGCCCCTGGGAAGAAGGCCCTGCCCCAGGAAGCATCTTCCTGCCAGATGCGTGGGCTCTACATGGAACCAACCTAAGAGCCACGCACATCCCAGAAGGAGAGAGCCCCAGTCAGAGAGACCCCAGCTCTGCCCACAAGACAGCCCCTCCCCACACTGGGCCTCAGCGTCTTCTGCCTTCCTCTGGAATTCCAGCTGTCCTGCTGGAGACGCTCAACCCACTGTGGTCGGATTAGTCTACATCCAGCTACAGCACTTTCTACATGCCTCTATCACAGCCCTGGGTACCACAACCTTCAAACCAAAGTGGGGGACATAGCATATCACAAGTACAAATGTACTTAAGGAAAGACAGTGAAACAGAATATGTGAAAGTGACTTTCTCTCTTGAAAACCCGAGACCTGGGGTCACCATACTTAGCATACTGCCTGGACTCCATCGAAGTGTTTCTCACATCTGCCTCCTCCAATGGTGAGCTCTGACTTGACATTGGTCTCTTGATGCCCAGCACCTAACCGAGCAGGTTCGACTGACAGATGGACTGACTGACTGGTTTATGCCTCACCACCATTGCTAGTGGGAGCAGAGTAGAGTGGTATCAGTTACTATTGAATGGATTTAAAAAGAAGGAGAAAGGGGAAAGGGTGGAAGAAAAAGAGGAAGGAACAATTTCCCACCTTCTCCTTTCTTTTTTTACTTCCTCCCAGGAGAATGTGCTCCTTCAGACTTTCATGTACTCTATGAAAACCTGTCCTACATACTTCACAGGATTGTGGGGAGAAAGACGCAAGAAAAACCAGGATAGTAAAGCACTGTGTCATGTAAAGAGTGCACACTGTTGATAGGAATGTAAAGTGATGCAGCCATGATGGAAAACAGTGTAGAGATGGTTCAAATAACTAAAGCTAGAACTACCATATGATCCAGCTATTCCATGTTTGAATATTTATCCAAAGACTATGAAAACATTAATTTGATAAAATATATGCACCCCTATGTTCATCACAGAATTATTTATTATAGCCAAGCTGTGGAAACAATCCAAGTGCCCACTGACAGATGGATGGATGAAAAACATGTACGTGTATACAATAGAATACTACTCAGCCGTAAAAAAGATGAATGCTTGCCATTTGCGACCACATGGATAGAGCTTGAGGGTATTATGCTAAGTGAAATAAGTCAGACAGAGAAAGACAAATACCATATGATTTCACCCATACGTGGAATATTAAAAAAAAAAAAAGCAAACAAAACAAATGCAACCACACAGACACAGATTACAGAGGGAAAGGGGTGGGGAAGGGCAAAACGGGTGATGGGAGTCAACTGGACTGTGATGGCTAGAAACTACATTTTTGATGGAGAGCACAGTGTATTGTACACAGAAGTCAAAATATAATGTTGTACGCATGAAACTTACATAATGTAATAAACCAGTGTGACTTCAATTTCTCTAGAACAGAGCTGTATGCAGGTGAAGACAATGCCGTGAGCATGTGGCGGCTGCCTTGTCTCGGCCCTGGCGCACTCACCTTGATACCCAGAACTGAACGGATGAACAGGGTGTGATGAGGCCAAACCCCCAGAGGCCATTGGACCACTTCTGGCTCTAAGACCCCAGGAATTCCAGGGACCTGTCCAACCTGGACAGGCCCCATCCCACCGCTCTGGTCCCTCCCACTAAAAGTTTGAAAAGTCCTGAAAACTCCTCTACTGAGCTTTCTTTTAATTAAGCTCACACACACACACACACACAAAACCACCCCTGGGTTTTGTCTGTCGTACTTTTGTTCTTGAGTCTGTTTGTACTTATTCAGAAATTACATAATCAAAAAAAATAATATTAAGTAAATGCGCACATCAGCCTGCCAAGCTGCCTGGGCCAACCTTCACTTGGGAACCACAGTGACAGCTACTTTATTTCTCTTACTTGTTTTTAAGCACAAAATATGTCACACCTGGAAGTAATTAGCATAATTTTTACTAATTTATAGCTAATTACACAATTACTTTCCTATGAAAGGTTCTGGAAAGACACTTGAAGTGAGTTTCACCAAATCCAGTGGTGAGAAATTGCTTGAAAACATTTCATTAGATTCAAATATTTGAGGGGGGAGGACACTCAATAAAGTAATTCTTTCCTATTTCAGAGTGTTCAAATATGACAGGGATGTAATTTCTCCATAGTTTGCAAAGCAGAATGTCTAAATGTCTCCGCTAATCCAACCCAACTGAAGGTGGCTCTAAAAAGAGCCCCCCAAAGGAGCATTACTGAGTGCACCCAAGGCAGAATTTAGAAGGCACAGCTT